CAAGCAATATGAATGCCTCTGAGCTAAATTTCAACTGTCCCAGATGAATCATTTTAGTTTTTAGTTTTTTATAAATTTGCAAAGATGTTAAAAAACAGTTTTTTGCTTTATCATTATGGTGTATGGAGTGTAGATTGATGTGGAAAAAAAGTAATTTAAAGCAGTGTAACATAAGGCAGCAACATAATAAAACGTGAAAAAAATGAAGGGGTATGAATACTTTCGCAAGGCACTGTAGATGCATTAAAGTGTGTTTATTCGTCGTACTCATAAACTGCAATAAAGAAAGTGAGACTGATCCAAGCAGAGTCAAATGTCAACTGGCGCTAGATTTCAGAATGCTATGAAGATCCCTTGAGATGTTCACTTCAGCAGTGCATACTGTAGCAACACATGAGATATTGACTGAGATATGGGATATTGACTGAACTGATTTCTGATGAAGACAAAGATATCTCTTACCTGGATGGTCTGCGTCGAGATTCCATGCTCTTGGAGGATTTGGTTGAGCCCTAAAAGAAAAGAAAACTCTCGTTAGGATCATGAAAATGTAGTTGAGGAAAGCCAGTGTATGAACTAGATTTACACTTCATGAAGGAAGCATCAGTCAGACAAAAACAGAGGTAAAGTTTTAGGGCATCAGAGCCAATTTCCCATTGTTTTCTGTTAGTTATGTATGAGATTCAGCACACAGTGCAAAACACACACGGATGTCTATGCAGCATAAATGTGTATATATATGTCTAAATATAGATGCAAGACAAGATCGGAATTGCATGCAGTTCTAAATGCCGAACATTCTATCAATGTAAGTCAATGGAAGATTATCAAAACTTAACCTTTAATCTTACAGTATAAATAAAAATAATTTTTTTTATGGCTGATATAATGTCAATATATTCACAAAACAATTGAATGACCATAAAGTTTTTACCATAAAGATTTAATGCAATATTTGCTTAAAATTCTCTATAAAAATACATAGATTTTGGAACTGACACATCATACAGCAAAACCTCTATTCATCTTATGCAGATCATCTCAAAATTACCAAATAATGTCCAATTATTCAGCCTAGCTGATAAAGTGGTCTATCACTAATAATGATCTCACAAATACAACAGTTTCCAGATGTTTTTAGCCCATTTCCTGTTTAAAAATGACCGTAAACCAGTTATCCACAGGGGAGGTTTACCGTTCATCTCCAGAGTTCAGGCTGTTCTGCTGATTACACCAATGAAAAGGCCATTTGTTTGGACAGTTACTTTTGGTTTGTGTTTATCCGTATGTAAAACTGTGTTGATACAGGTTGAAGAGAGCTGATGTGAGCGTGTAGGTCTGTATCTAACACTGAGCATGTCCTCTTAGCTGTATATACTCTAAATCCAATGATAGCCTGTGAAGTAAGGGATTTAAATTATATTGATTTCACACAGGAGATGCTGAAAGGTGTGTAATTTCTGCACAATACTTGGTTTGGTGATGGTAGTGGGACAAAAATACACTTTTACCTGTAAAATGACATTTAGAGACTTAACTAATATAAGTTAAAGTGTTATTGGTCTCACAAAAGAAGGATAAGCCTTAAAAGATGCGTGGTTTACGCTCACTGTCTAAATTACATACTAGTGCATGACTAAAAAGGTACAATGCTTACTAAGAAAACCCAGAATCCAACGTATAATTACAAACAGTGCTGGGGCCTTTTCTAGAAACTGTATGGACTTTGCATGTGGTTTCCCATATGTAGCAGTCTTAGAAAAGTATAGAACAACTTAAAGTAAATGAAATGATGGGAAAACTTCAAGTTCAAATGTCTCCAATAAGAAAACATCATACTGAGGTTTGAATCTGGGGAATTTGCTGGGAACTGGGAAATTGCTTAATGAGTGATAGCTAACAGAATAAATATTTTAAAACAGTGCATATAAATGAATTGACTATAGAAATTACCAAGAACATACTGTCAAACAAAACCCATTTGGAATTGTATTAAAATTAAATAAATAAATACATTTTAAAAAGGCAATGGAATAGCAAAATGACTGTTTTCAAACAGTTTCCTGAGCCAATTTGCCATTGGTTAGCAAACAGATAGTCCCGCCCCAAACTCATGCCATTGGTCAATGCTGCTGTGTTGGACTTGTCAAGATTCAAAAACCAAAACAAAACAGAAACCATCAATAATTGTGCACACATCACCTAATTTCCATGACATTTCCCTGTCTGGATATTACAACACTGACCGTGGGAAGCCTGTACATTTTATTTAATTAATTCTCTAAGCACTTAAAGGAACAGTCTGCCTGAATTGAAATTCTGTCATCATTTACTCACCCTCATGTCATTCCAAACCTGAATGACTTTTTGTTTCTTCTGCAGAACAAAAAAAAGAAGATATCTTTAAGAATGTGTCTGTGTTTTTGTCCAAAGTCAATGGGGTCCAAAACAACACTGTCTCCCACGGTCTTTCAATGTACGCACAAAAACACCAATCTAAAATATATTTTTTCCACAGAAGAAAGTAAGTCAAACGGGTTTGAAACGACATGAGGGCGAGTAACAGAATTTTTATTGTTGGGTGATCTGTCCATTTAAAGAGCATTCATTAAAGTAAAATGTTCCCACAGCGCTAGTTTCCTAAATAATCCTCATTTCCAAGAATCCAGAGAAATCTACTACAATATTGTTTGCATGTATAGTATTTAGAGGCCAATTGAGCTTTCAATGAACAGACTGTAAAAGACCATTAACACATTTTGTAGTCTAACAAACTTTTGTGTGTATAGATTACTGGGCCAGGCCATTATGAACAATCATAAAACACAAGGAACTACAAATATGCCATACTAAGACAGACTGCAAAGTCACTCACTTATAGCCTGAGAAAGCCATTGTGACACACTTGAATAAAACACACTGGCATTGCAAACCCCCTCTATCCATCCACAGGGTCCACCTTCCATCTCTCGCCACACGGTGCCCGGCTCCAAAAACATTCCCTTAATCAGCCGATAATTGCGACCCCCAGAAGGACAGCCAAGAAAGGCTGGGTGGGGGGATGGAGGGGGTCTCAGCCAGGCTTGATCAAAACCAGCTGGAAACGCTGCTTTCGAGCGGGCCCGACAAAAGAACAATCAGAGACCGCAGGGAAAAAAGCAAGGGAGAGCTTTGAGGAAAAAGTTGCCTACAAGACCTACAATCTGGAAAAGAGCGAAAGTTCGGCGGAAACTCGAAGGCCTACCTTGAACAGGTAACCTGTACTCCACCTCCAAGCATCACGAAGGGAGGACAAACGCCTCCGTAGAGAGCTGCTGGGATTCATGGTTGGGAATTAACGCTTCCCTTCTCCTTGCAGTCCCCTTTTCCTGAAGCGCGCCCCACATTCCCGGCTCTATTTTGGTTCCGTGCTGTGCCGAGGATGCTGCATGCCTGGCGTCAAACTCAAGCGGACCGCAGCTTTCTTCCTTCTCCCACTCGCAGAGTAACTCTTTCCCTTGTTTTGTTCCCTCCCGCCTCCTTCTCCGGCCCCTCCCTTTTCCTCGGCACCTCTCCCCTCCCTCTTTCCAATGCTGTGCGTGTGCCACCCACGTTTGTTTGGATCTTCGGTCTAGCCTTTGCTCTCTCTCCAGGTCACACGCTCAGCAGCTGACTGGAGGAGATGATCATCCCAACCTCACGGCTTCAACTATTCACAGTTCTGTCACCTCCAGTAAACCAAGGCCAATCACCTCACTTTCCTCTAGAATATAAACGTATACGGTTTTCTTTTGGTCGAACCATACTTCTTTTTTGGTTTATACATAGTTTTCATCCCTGAGGTCCACTTAGGATGCTAAAAATAGCCGTAATTTTGTTTTTCATGAGCATTTTCCATCCTCTCGCTGACCTTAAAGCAAGCTGTGTACTTTTGCTGCCATATCTTTAAAGGGGTCATGAACTGGCTCTTTTTTTTAAATTATTTTATACTGTTGTCTGAGGTCCACTTATGACGTTTGCGTGGTTTTTACATTCAAAAACATCAAAATCAATAATAGGCTATTTTCTACCCTAGTTTTGAGGCCGGCTCGAGAAACGCTCGGTTTTTATGGGCGTGCCGCATTGAAGACTTGGAAGTAAACGCCCACTGCTATGATTGGATAATAGTTTTGCATAGTAAACTAACTTTCTGTGTGTCTATACGTCCTTCATAGTTGGAGCCTTCTATGACTTTGGTTAGACACGTACACATAATCAGGACATATCAAGCAATCTCAAACAAAGCAATAGTGACACATAGTACAAATATTTTTTACTCACATAAGTGTGCTGCGCCATTCCTGTCGGATCCAATATAGACACACAGCATTGCTTTTTAATCTCAGTCACTCTGCAAATCCAGCGTCAATTTGTGTCTTGTTTACAAAGGAATCCGCGGTGAAATGAAGCGAACAAACGCTCAATGTTTTACTCACGTGAGCTGAAACTTCATTAAAAATAAAGTTCAACCACGCATTCCTAATATTTGAATCCAAAGGAAGGTTATGCAGCGACTGTGTTCTTCCAAATCCAGGCACTGCACAATATTTTGCGATCTTTAACGGCATGTTTATTGCTTGGTTGTTCGATTTGGTTTAGCGCCACTTACGTTATTTCCCTACTATGTCATGTACGAATCAGTGGGCGGGACTACAGAATTACGATTATTAGTGGGCCATATGACCAAAACTTTATATGAAAGATTTATTTAAAGATAGTGATATATAACCTATTTTTGTGTGTACTTGACCGTTTAGGTGCTGAAGATGACTTTACATGTCCGTGTTGTGTTCCGTCTCTAAGCGCATCCACAGTAATCTTCCCGAGGAAGCGCAAGTTCTTTCACGCTTTTAAAAACATAAATCAAT